GATGGATGTGAAATGAAGTATCTTGCTATGCATGCCGATTCCTTCTACAGTGCTTTGCTTTACATTACTGAAAGGAAGTAGTTAGTTGGTTCTGCTGGGAGTTGAAACTCTATCTTTTCAAGTTCTGTTGGGACTCTGTAGGGCTAGTTGGTACTCTCGTTGGTTGGGACCTGGTCACGACTTGCATGGGACCACTGAGTCCCATGGGACCGGGCCCAAACAAGGAGAAGGAGATTCAATGCCTGAAGATGGCACACAGTTTGATGGCGAGAAGTGATGGTGCTACGACCAGCGGACAGGCGGTGAGGGATGATGCACTGCTGGCCCGTATCTTACATGAGCACGAGGAAATGAAGGTGAAAATGGAGGTGGCAGAGGTCGCCAACAAGCGAGCAGAATCTCTCGAAGAGGCGTTACGACTCATGAAGCAGCGGCATGAGGATGCGTTACAGGAGGCGGAAACCTGGAAGAAGGAAGCGTTGCAGTCGGATAACAAACGAAGCAGGGTTGCCATTTCTCCTTCATCCCAATTAAGAATGCCGCCAGCTGCTACTCCCCGCAAGACACCTGCTGAACGGCCACCATGCGATCCTTCCCAGCTGGTGCATCTGCATGCCCTCGAGGTCAATGCTCTCAAGGAGCTCAGGTTGCAAGAACTAAATCGCAGACGAGAAGCCGAGAAGGAGAATGCGAAGTTAAAAGAGGAATTAGCCCGGAGAGATGCTGGTCCGAAGTCGCCTTTTCAGCAAAAGTTGGACGACGCCGGTGGCTCAGTCGCGAGAACGAGCCGAGCAAAGAAGAAAACCATTGAAGATGACGAGTCTGGTAAGGAAAACGAACGGGGCGTTTTTTATTCGAGAAGCAAGGAAAGAGTTAGGCAATAAGAAGAAGGACGAGTTGGTTGGGATCTGCATGAAGGAAGGGATCAAGTACAACACCATTCCACGATCAATCACAGATATTATCGAGAAACGTGTGGAACATGCGTTTTGCAAGAAGGCAGTTGTTCAGGAGATTTCGGAAGATGTCTGTGAGAATGACGGTAAGGATGACGGGAGAGAGTCTGAAGATTCGTAAGGTCTCTCCCGAGCGCGACCCGTCTGTGGTCTTTAGCTAATGCATGTTCTTCTTTCCGTTCATCTTCTACCCGTCATCTAAGATGTAAAGCTGTTGATGCCCTCTTCCGTCTAGTAGTGTACTTGTTAATCTTGTATGGAACGGTTCCTTGGGCCCTTAAGTTTTCTCCTCCTATTACGAATTGGTGGTTGAGTGGACAGAATGATAAAGGTTTGTTGGTGTATGTATTGATTTCCCCTTGGTGCCATCATTTCTATGTCGGAAGTACCAATCGAGATTTGGGTACTCGTTAGTCTAAACATGTTTATAGGGCATGCAATGATGCAGTCATTAACAAGGGTAGGAGAAACGAACGTCTGTATTGCTGGTTGCGTCGATTCGGTACGGAGAAGTATGTTGCGTTTCCTTTATGCACCTGTTCGAAGAATGATTTGGCAAATACCGAGCGTTTTTACATTCGTCTTTTTTCATCATCGTTGATTTCTAAGGATAAGCCCAGACGTGTGAAGAAACGACGTTTGGGAAAGAAGGAGAGACTGCGACGAAAGAAGAAGTTGATGTTGCCTACCAAACGGGTGGGTGAAGTTTCTTTGGTTTCATTCCATTCGTCTCGTGGTATTCAGTCTAATAGCTCTTGCGCATTCTGAACTTTTGTCGTGATGGTCTGATTGATCGAGTAGTGGCAGTCTGCAGCGGCGGACCGTTGATGCTTGATAGATGGAAGGTCCTTCGGCGCTGCTATGGTTTATCCTTAGTATCATGTTAAGTATGGAAGGGACCAGCTACGAAACTTTAAAGGGTGGTTGTCGGATGGCGTTGTACTCTGTTTTGAGTCTATTGTCCCTTTCTGTAGACGTTCTCTGGCTCTCAAACCCCGATTGACGCAGCTGTTAAGTCAACCTTCCACAAGGAATGAGCTGAAGACATGGCAGTTTGGCGAGCTGGTGTATGCCTTCTCTGGTATTCGTTGTTTTCAGGAAAAACGAACCCGAAGTAGGTTATGTGTTATCCTATCGACAATCATCTCTCAGCGGTTTGGATCAAGGTTAGACAACGGTTGGTGTGCAGGGTTGTGTTCGACGACAGATATTGCAAAGCGGCAATCCGTAGTGTTTGTACGCTTTTGATTGACAAACTTGATATTGACCCAGCGTGAAAATGTATGTTGATACGACGTTTGCGTATTGTATGGTGTAAAAATAAGACTGTGGGGGAGTTGATGCTCAATTTTCGGAAGTATGCGGTTAGCGGCGATTTCCGTTGCGGTTGCGATGGTATTGACGAGTCGTTTTCTCGTGTTGACGGCCATGTAGCATTCCGCATTAGCTCCGTTGACTCCTTGCCTTCGTGCATGCGTAATTCTAGGAATATCTTGTGCCCCACTCCTACTAATCTTGTTGGCAATTTATTGAAACAGATCTGCTCCTCTTTTCGTACTATCGGTTCCTTACCCGCCGTCCGTTGTGACCTGCTTGATCCTGCTCTCCTTTCATCTTGTGTTTTGAAAACTGCACAGTCCCCCTCCATCTCGTTGACTTTTTTTTTTTCTTCTTCTTCTTCCCTTTCTTTTTTTTTTTCTTCTTCTTCTTTTTTTTCTTCTTCTTCCATTTCTTTTTCTTCTTCTTCTTCTTCTTCTTCTTCTTCTTCTTCTTCTTCTTCTTCTTCTTCTTCCTCCTCCTCTTCTTTTTCTTCCCTCTCTTCTTCTTCTTCTGTTTTCCCTAATTTTTTTGTCCCCGTTGTGAGAGAGCACGTGGCCGGACTAGATGGTTTGGTATGTGTCCTTTTGGATCACAATTTAGGGGATGTTTTTGTTTGTTGTCCAACAGTGTACGGCGATGGTATGAGAAAGTTATTTCTGGAGAACCCGTCTTTCTTACTGATGTCCAAACCCGAGCGTGAGGTCTTGGAAGACTGTAGACGGCAGTACGATGACGACAAATTCTGCAAGATCGGAAGATGGGATAAAAATGGTAAATTTGGTAGGGCACATTGCCTGCCAAAACACAAGGATGTCGCACGATGACGACCTATCTGTCCATCACATGGTGAGTGCAAGACTTCTTGCGGAAAGAGGGTGGCTAGAGGGGTCAATTTTATGCTGTGGAAACTTCCGGAAAAAATGCATTTCAACCTCCGTTGAACAACCGATGTTATGAAACGGATTGCAAGTATCAACAAAGATCTTGGCAAGCAGGAGTCGCTGGTGGGAGGGTCTTTCGACGTCAAGGAGATGTTTTCCAACCTGCCACATCCTTCTATCTTACGTGCTCTACAGTGGGAATTAGATTTTTGGAAGAGTCAAGGTTTTCTTGTCGTTTTGGTCTGCTTGCATGCGAAGGAAGTACGATTGACAAAGGGTAGTGGTGAAGTCGGTTGGATCCGAATCAGTTTTGCAAAAATCATGCGGTTTGTTCAGTTCGAGTTGAGTAATACTTTTGTGATGGTATAGGGGTAGTTGCTTCGACACACTGTCGGAACTCCCATGGGAAAATCGACGAGTCCAGCACTCGCATGTTTGCTTTGTGCATTTGATGAATTCCGTTTTCTTTCCGGGCTGCAAACGGAGAAGTTGTTGGTGACGGGCTGCAGGATCGTCGACGATGTGTCCTTTTTCGTGAAATTTTGTACTGCTAACGTATAAACTAAAGTCGAAGTTGAGCGTGTTCTAGAACGATTCCAGCAGTGTTATGATAAGGAGTTGGTACTGGAACAGACCAATCAAGGTCAGGAATGGAACTTTGTTGGATGCGTGGTAAGAATCATTGACAATCCTTGTCAAGTGATTTGCGTGGCTACTCATAAAAACCAATCAGTGGATGTCAACAAGCCTCTGATTTTTCAGAGCATCCAAGATTTTAAATCATTCTCCAGCAAGCAGCAGAAGCTCGCAGTTATTCTTTCCTTTCTTCATAGGGCGCGCACTTTCACTTTTGTTCCTGGACTTGAGCTACCCTTTCTTTTCACTTTGAAGAATGAATTGTGGTTGCGTGGTTATCCTGATATCTACTTCGACATTGCGCTTCAGAATTTCTCGAAGAAGTTTGCACGGTGCTGGGATCACTGGATACCCGTGCTCACAGGATCGCACAAAATACTGAGTAGTTGATGTAAACCGGGCTCATAGTGTTATGACGTATCATGAGAATCGGCTCTGGGTTAGGGTATGGGAACATGGTTCCGATAAGGTGGGACATGGTATGGAAATATTTTGTGTAGATATGTGTATGAGAATACGGTCTCAGCAAGGTGACACATGGTATGGAAATGTTTTTGGTCAGGACATGCGCATATGGTACATAAATGATCTCTCTGTTTGTCTCCCTAGGACTTTGCAATGTTTTTTGTTTTGATTTGTTCTCGAGCTCGTGGTTTTGTGGTTTGGCAGACCAGTGGGTTTCAGTCCCAGGGTCTGGAGTTTCGCGGTCTCAGTCCCGGGTTCTGCTCGTTTGTTTGTTTTCTGTTTTTTTTGGTATATGGTAATGACTCAAACCTGTGACCTATGTGACTTTTTTGGCATGCGGGTGTCAGTCCCGAGGATCATTACTTACTTAGGACAGACTGCAGTTTTTATTGAGGTCAGTTGTTCGAAGCTTGCAGTGTTGCAGGGTTTTTTTTTTTCAAACTCCCATTGTGAGGATATCAGTGGTTCTATGCAGTACACCAGATATAAATAGAGAGGTTTAGACTTGTCTATTACCGCACGACTGACAAGACCCCTGAGGAGTGCCGGTGGCGGCCGGCCGAAACTAGTCGGGTCAAATTCCGCCTGGTCACTATTGTAACATTTTTTCGAGTCGCGTTCGGGAGACTATTTTGCATCTTGGTGTACTTGGCTTTCTTCTCGGTTCACACTCTTTTCTCTCTCTCTCTCTCTCTCTCTCTCTCTCTCTCTCTCTCTCTCTCTTTCTCTCTCTTTCTCTCTCTCTCTCTCTCTCTCTCTCTCTCTCTCTCT